CATTCCATTCATAAAAAAAAGCCTTTTGATGGAGAAAGTGTATCTTTTTGGTTGGCAAGGCTTGTCTAAGTCGAAACTAACTCCGGCTATATTAAATTGAAAATGTTATTCTTGTTAATGTGTATATAAGTATTACTACTATGTCCATTTTTGTCGATCTAATCTACGTAATTTTACTTTCAGAGTTTATATTTAATTAATTAAAATTGTTTAGATACTTATTTGAAAAATATATTATATAAAATAAATGTAATCGGTAAAGTTTATAATAATATTTGATAATATTTAAATAAAGCAAAAAGATTGAAATATGTTAAATACGGACACAATGTATACACAGGCCTAGTTCTAGAGTTTAGTTAAAATATGTAAATAAGTATTGAAATGATATACACTACTTATATATATTTATATAAATATTATGCGTAAATATGTATTTAGTAAAATAAAATAAATTTAACGAAAAGCATTTTGTCTTTCTTGCATCACGTTGTGAACATTTGTTGGTACTAATCGTCGTCAAGGTGCCGGCAGCCTACATGTTTCATCTATTCGACATTGAACACAGCCACTTCATCTGCGCTCATGAAAAACAACCTGTAAAGATCAGCTGCCACATTTTCGGATGCTTCTGCAAACATGACGTGCTGCACAGATGGTAAAAAGGTTCAATACATCAAACAGAATGAACAGTGCGATTTAGATTTAAAATGGCAATATGGATAGAAAGGTTACAGGGAGTATTCTTTGACAATGCTCATATAAATCGGCAATAACAATCAACCACAGCACAGGCATGGGATGTGAGGTCAATGCTAATTTACTACTCTTGTGAATTTTGATACACATGTAGCACAAGTCTAGAATAGAATTTCAGGTCTCCGTGACAGTGGCACGAAACCAAAGACAAGAATTTTACCACAACCCTGCTAAAAGTTTGGTTTCTGTCCAAATTTAATGACGACAAAACAAAAATTATGAAAGTAGACAAAGAGGGCTTTGTGTTTTCTGTCTTTCCTTGTGATCACTGCTTGTCAAATGAGGTACATTCAGGAATTCATATGTACCTGAAGTATTATCTTTCAAAGTCTAGATTTGCCATCGAACTTTCCAATATGATTCAAAGACAAATTTTTAAACAAGAAACTAGTTTGTGCAAAATAATGATAAGGGTAATTATCTAATCCTTTTTTAAAAATGACTTTTAATGGATCATTTGGTGTAAAACAACCCGGGACAACTAAATTTGCATCTGAAAAATGGCCACAGATTCCGCCATTTTGCTGTAAAATGGTTAGCAACCGCATAGCACCTTTCGCCTAGCAATAATGCACTAGCTGTAAACAAAGCTTACTTCCTGCCTACTAAACCTGCCGTGGACTATTTCAATTTGGAGATGCCCCCAACAC